AAATCATGCGTTAGGTTTAATGAACTTTTACCTAAAGTTCTTAGAAATGCCCCCCACTTAAAATACCCCTTATTAGCTTTCGTTTAAGCCTAGTTACCCAATCACTTAGTAATTAAATGGAACTTCCCAAATAAGTTGGGTTAGTTATTTTAGGAAGGCCCATATTAGAAAACTATTTCCAACTACTCTTATCAATTTAGGAAACCTAAATTAGGAAACCGATTTTCATTTTAGGAAACCGAGTTCCATTTTGTGAAACTTATATCTAGTTTAGGAAACTAATTTTGAATTAGGAAACTGATTTTTATTTTTAGAAACTAATTTTTAAATTAGGAAACTGATTTTCAAATTTGAAAACTTTTTAAAATTTTTTACTTCTCATTATCCATGTTAATGATAAGCTTATGTGCGCGATTCAATAGGCTTCTAGATATATTAGCAATGTATTGAGAAGTAAAAGAAACTTCTTTTATCTATTGATACGTAAATCAAGATAGGCCTCTAGTAACACATCATGACTAATTAATTCTCTAGAAGAATTACTTAATTCAGAATAACCTTTCACTAGTATGGTTTTTATACAATTTAGCCCTCATATCAATTTATCATAGATTGATCTCAAAGTTGGTTTCTTATCTTGGATTATGATTACATAAGTTTTCTTTGATCTTTTAATGTCTTAGCTCTCAAGTAAATCAATCATGCTCTATTGATATGCTTCCACTATGATTATAAATTCTTGGGCAAACCTTCATCAAAATGCAATACTCCTTTAGCATATAAGGAATGACATGTTCGATCTCGGTTATCTACCTATCTTCATTATATTTTTGATGTACCCAATGAATTGTCCAAGTGTAGCTCTTTACTCAGCCCATCAAAACAAATGTTAAAGTACATCAATCCTCTAATGATAATTATGATAACTTTAAGTTAAAGAACTACTTGTGTCCATTTTGTATGAGATTCTCATAGACGAAACCAAATAGATTCTCATGACGAGTCACGTCTAGTGATATATTCTCTAACATGATTTACCCGTGTGCTTGTTTTAGCATCACCATGTTAGTAGGTGTTAGGTCTTCTATTATAGCATGGCTCATGCAAATCTTACCATATATTATCAATTTTCAATCTTGACAATGTTATGACTTGAGATGTTTAATGATATCATTTAGGTGTATTGATGTTTGTCTTATATTTATTAATCAATCATCAATGCAATGAATATCATATGGACTTCTATCTAATTCTATCATGTTATACATAACATAAATTAATAGAAAGACTTCTTTATTAATATAAAAATATAATAATACAATAATCAAACCATTCAATCGAGTTTGATCTTGGGCACGTACACTAATAAGAAATTTAATCCTTCTTATCACCATCTCTTGCCTCATCTTTCAGCTCTTAGGAGTTAAGGGAAATGGTTGACTCTTAGGTTGTAAAAAGGATAATAGAAAGGATGCGAGGCTATTTCAAGTTCAGTAACAATCCCATCATTGTCTATAATTGACTCTATATGGAGCTAACTTAACTAGCTTATTGCTTGGATGATAGTCTCCATCCCATTGAGCCTATCTTTATATGGAGTAGAAACCTTTTAGATATTATCACTAAGATACCGTAAAGTGATAGAAGAGGAGCCGACACCAAATATGAGTAACACTAGAATGCATAAGTTCCAATGTTGTACAGTCTCGCTTCTTCTCTCCTTTAACAACATCTAAATATATGTTGGACATGTCGATATCTAGAGACAATGAATCACCTTTTGTTGCTCCTTAACAGCTTGCTTCTTGTAATGACTACACGTACTCCTATATCTTAAAAAATAATTATAATATGAAATTATATATATATATATATATATAAAACCTTATCATTACTCGTTTGTGACCACCTATCGACGAATGTCTCATCTTTTTGTTTGTTAGTGGTCACGAACAATTCATAAGGATTTGGGTTACGATCTAATTTATTATGTTAAAAAAAATTAAACAAAATAATATAAGATGCAATAAATGTAAAAATTAATTTATAACATAATTGGTCATATAGGACTTACCAAACACTCAGCTCACTTGATCAAAGCGATGGACCCTTCGAGTATGCTTGGTTAAGCCAATACCAACACCACTCATCTTCAACATACGATTCCAAGATGCTTGCCGAGATCAAGCCCGATACTCAAGAATTGCCCAATCCTAGTGTTATGCTTCCCACACCTCCTATTTTACAAATACATATATATTACTCTTATACTTCACCTTGTTAAGCATGTTACCATACCGCTTCCATGTCGACTCTTTCATACATCGATGATCGTATCTCATAAAAATTATTTCTACATGAAGCAAAAAAAATATATATATATACTAGAAATTTTAAATTTAAATTAACATTTTAAATAAAATATAATTAATTAATTAATATGTTATTCTAAACTCGTTAAAGTAGAAGTCTTTCATCTCCATAGAGATAGGCTTCTATGTAGAGCCAATGATGTCTAACCTCCATTAAAGTTACATGATTTTTATGGAGCACTTGCTTTATCAAAACAAACCGTCAAAAAAAAAAAAAAAGAGAGAGAAAATTAATGATTCTAATGTAGTATATGAAAATGTAAAACTAATTATTGCATATAAGACATATCACTTACTAGTTCTTCAAGAATCAAATAGTCCGTCCATCATTAGATCGAATAGAGCTTCTTCGAGTTAAGGAAACCGGCTTGGGGACATCCATAATCGGAGGCACTACCGATTGGGCATAACTTGCGGTAGCACTACTAGAGGGGATGTGAACTTGTCGACACAACTATCAAGTTTGTAGCCTCGGACACTTGCACCGGCAATGTCATGTCCACGTACACCGTCACTATTAGTCGTAGGTTAATATTAGATCTACGACCAGATTTGTCTTATTCATGAGGCATAACTAAAAAATAACACCAAAAATAGTTTAACAAATGAATAACATTTGAATAAAAATATATTATAATATACCTAAACATTTAACAAAATTTTAGTAGAGTCTCTCTTGCGAATTGCACCTTTCCAATTAACGGATACTAAATGATCACACAAATATTGAAATTAAATCAACCAACAATCAATTTATGCGTACCAAGATAAGCAATTATCTCAAAAACTCCATCGAAATTAAATTCCAAACTCGTCCTCCCAACTCCATTGTAGAGCATTGAACCAAACTTATTTATCTTCAATTCTCGGGGTCTCCTACCCTTTAGGTTCGATACATTACAACATATCTCAACACACTTCAATGATTATAAACGAAATAATTAGTCTAATTAATTTTAATTCTAACTTAATTAAATTTAAAATAACAATAAATTAACAAGTTTTAATATAAATAAAATTATAATTCAACCAATTAAAAAATTAGCCTAATTAATGAATTAAATATAAATCAAATTAACTCGAATTAATTATAATTCTAACCAAATTAGATTTAAAAATTAAAATAAATTAACAAGTTTTAGTATAAATAAAGTTATAATTCAACCAACTAAACAAAATTAACCTAATTAATTAATTAATTATAATTCTAACAAAATTAAATTTAAATAATAATAAATTAACAAGTTTTAATATAAATAAGGTTATAATTCAACTAATTAAAAAAATTAACCTAATTAATTAATTAATTATAAATCAAACTAACTTAATTAATTCTAGTTCTAATTAAATTAAATTTAAATAAAAATTAATTAAAAATTTCTAATATAAATACAATTATAATTCAACCAACTTCCATTCATTGTATAGTCTTTGTTTTTCCCATCCTAGATCCGTCCAATTTAATCTTGTTGGCCCAATTCTATTCTAAGCCAAATGCATCCTTATATATATATAATTAAGCTGCCTACATATTCCAATAGGCGCATCAACTCAAAGTAACAATGTTCATTGGTTGGCATTTTGCGTATTGGGATGTGATCGATAATTGAAATTTGAATCTTAATAAAGATTAAAAAAAATAAAAATTCAGACCACACACTTGGCAAAGAAGAATGCAAATATAATTAACCGTCATAGCTTTTATATTTTTGGAGCATATTCTCGTGAAATTCTAGATTGCAAACTGGGAGACGGTGAAACATCCTAACCGTATGCTAAATAACATGCACATAGTTACTAGGAAAGATGAATTCAAACATAAAATTCAAGTGCTTGAAAAAAAAAATCCTAGAATTGCAATCGCATTAAGTACCGGTAGTTTAATTTTTACCTAGGAATTTGTTGATCCACTTTGTTGTATTCATACTGTCAATATTGTTTTGCCGAATCTCAAAGGATTGATTCATCTCTTTCTTTTGTACAGGTCTTCACCGTATCCCATCATAAATTTGTATGTTTTCTGGTTTAACGGCTCAAATAATAAATAGATTTGTCACTCAAATTATCATGTCGTTTTTTAATCTAAGAAAGAATTTGGAGAAAAACTTCTTTTCTTTTCATTATTATAGTAATAATTTTGGTGCGGCTCAAATAATAAATAGATTTGTTACTCAAATTATCATGTCGTTTTTTAATCTAAAAAAGAATTTGGAGAAAAACTTCTTTTCTTTTCATTATTATAGTAATAATTTTGGTGCGGATGGCTTGCCTATATATCCCAACTCAAAAAAAGACTTGTTCCAAAAAAACCCTAAATTATGAAAGAAAGAAAGGAAGAAAAAAATTAGATTTGTACAATTAGCATACAAGAGATGGATGCATGGATTCAAATTAATATTTTTCTAGAGACATTAAGATTCCATAGCTTGGAGAATCCGCTAAGTTCTTGTTTTATAAGCCTAATGACCAAGCCAGGACAATGAAGTCAAATGATCTTACACTCTTGTCCACTCCTAAGTTCATTTGCTATATAATAATCATGGTTTCAAGTTCATAACACAATCAATTAAAGCGAGAGACAGGGATTATTGCACATCTTGCAAACAAGTTCTGATCAAACAAATTGTAATGGCAAAGGGAACCACTTCTTGTTTTTGTTTTCTTTCCTTATTTCTAGTCATTCTGGCCTTTCACTTGGCTGAAGCTGCTGTACCAGCCATATTTGTATTTGGTGACTCAACTGTTGATGTTGGGACAAATAATTTCTTACCTACGTCCCAAGCCAAGGCTAATTTCCTGTATTATGGGATTGACTATCTTGGTTCAGTCCCTACTGGGAGATTCAGCAATGGTTATAATTGTGCAGATCGTATCGGTATGGATCAACTATTTGCAGCTATTATACAAAATTTACTATAGATTAATTAAAAATTGCAGTTGGTAAATCGTTTAGCAATTTTTTTATTTTTTATTTTTTTAACCAGAATCTCTTAAGATTTCAGAAAACAATTTATTATGACATTGTATCTATAGCTAATGATCAATGTTTGCTTGGATAGCTAAGCTGTTTGGTTTTAGGAAGAGTCCGGAATCTTTTTTCCATCTCATCAATGAAACTGGGAGTTTCCAGAATAGGAGTTTCAAGAAGAGAATACTTCAGGGTGTCAATTTTGCATCAGGAGGCTCAGGGATTCTCGACAGCACTGGATTCCAATTATTTGTAAGCCTTCTCGTCTTTGACACAATGTTACCATTTGTGCCATCTTAATTATTTTGTTTCCAGATTTCCATCAGAAAGAAGTTTACTAATTAACTTCAAATTAAAATTAATTTTTAAGACGAACGTGGTGTGGTTGAGAGAGCAGATTCAGCAATTTTCAACAGTTCGTGGAAATATCACTGAGATATTGGGTCCAGAAGCTGCTGCTAAAATGCTATCTAAGTCGTTGTTTCTCATTAGTGTTGGAGGCAATGACCTCTTTGAATATCAGCTAAATGTGTCTAAGAATGATCCTAATCTGCCTCAGGCACAAGAGTTGATAGCCATTCTATCATCAACATATCAAATTCATCTACGGGTAAGAAATTGCATTGCTAGCTGATGCAAAATGTGTCACTATTTGTTATAGGAATTGTTATTTTAAAGATTAGATGAAAAAAAAAATGATTATGCAAATTTGGCATTTCGGCAGAGTTTGTATGACTTGGGGGCTCGAAAATTCGGCATTGTAAGCATCCCAGCAATCGGATGCTGTCCAAAGGAGCGTGGTTTTGGTAATGGTGAATGCAACAAGGAAATGAATGATTTGGCTCAAGCATTCTTCAGTGCCACTGACATCCTCTTACAAAATTTAACCTCTCAAGTTCAAGAGATGAAGTACTCTCTTGCAAATCTTTATGAGATATCTCATGAAATTATATCTAATCCAGGGGCCTCAGGTATGTGTTTTACTTTTGCACAGAATTCTGTCAGAAATACTCGAAGGGAAAATGATATCTAATTTTAATCATCTTGATTTCTCAGGTTTCACGGTGGCGCAAACAGCATGCTGTGGGAATGGAAGCTACAATGCACAATCCCCATGTAATCTAGATGCAAAGCTTTGTCCAAATCGCCGGGACTACGTGTTCTGGGATTCAATTCACCCAACTCAACGCGCTGCCAAGTTAGCTGCTCGAGCCCTCTTTAATGGAGGAGCAAACTATGCAACACCTGTGAATTTTAGTCAGCTGGTGGAGGATTAATATCCCTAATTAACACACCTGAATAAAATGCTATAATATATGAGTTGTATCAAATATCAATGATGTAGAAGATGATCCTTCACCAAATCCGAAGTGTTGCATTAATCGATCCTATTTTAATTAGCCATTTTATGGAAGAATATTTGTGATTTTCTATGCTTCAGGATCATTCAACTCTTTTCAATTCAGGAAAGAAATATCGAAACATGTCATCAGGAAAAGATTTCACAACAACCTTGTGTTGCTAATTATATATATTTATGGCAATTGTCTAAAACATCTATATAATTAGATCTAAGGGTTTAGCAAGAACAGCAAGCTATTTACCAAATACTTCTACTTTTGAATGTTGAATCTAAAACCGACATACTTATAAGCACAACACAATTATCAAACAGCCATCTCCAAGCACAATACCATTATAAAAAAAAATCATCTCGAAGCACAACACAACTCATCAAGTAAAAGCCCAAACTTGAAACTTGTATAAACCTATTAATACTTTCTGCTTATATGTTTAATTATAAGAGAAATTAAGAATGATGAAATTTGAATTTATGACCTTTTAATCATTAAGACTCAAGACTTTGATACCATATTATAAAAACCATTTCAACAAAAAAATTTAAGCTATTTATGAGATCTTATAAATAGTTTTATATTACTCTTTAACAACCATCAAATAGAATCTAAAAAAAAAAAAAACTTAATTAGCATCATTTAATTGCCATTGAAAGACAATTGTGGAGTGCCTCTCTAAAATCAAAATGAGTTAAATATACTTCGTGCTCCAATACTAGACCAAAAAATATTCTTGCCACTCTTTTACTTAAATTTAGTTTATAACAAATTTTATATTATAGGATGGTTGATGCAAAATATTCCATCAATTAACTTTTTCCATCAAATTGACAAATTTTCATTAATTGACTAACGTTTGATCAATCAAATGACGACACATGTCAACTTAAGGGCAAAAATATAATTTTTTAAATCATTTTTTAAATTAAAATAATAAATAATTATTATAAAATTATTAAATATTAAAAAATAATTCTAAAGAAATTTTTTAAAATAATCAAAAAAATTCAATGTGTATGATTTTAAAATAATTATTAATTATTAATTAAAAAATATATGTAAATATTTTTTTCAATTTTTTATTATTTTATAATAGTAACTAATAAATAAATATTTTTAAAAAATATAAAGATTTTTTTTATTTTGAATATTTTACTATTAATAAAGAAAATAAAAATATCTAAATAAATTTTTAATGATTTTATAATAATTATTAATTATTTTGATAAAACATTTCTTTTGACAATTAAGTTTTTCAATTTTTTTGAAAAAATTATATATTTTGGATTTTTTAACATATTTTATTTATTAATAATTATTATAAAATAATTAAAAAATAAAAAATAATTCTACAAAAAAATTTTAAAATAATCAAAAAAATTTCAATGTGTATGATTTTATAATAATTATTAATTAAAAATAAAAAAATATATAAAGAAATAGTAATTAATAAAGAAATATTTTTAAAAAACTAAAGATTTTTTTTTTAATTTTGAATATTTTGTTATTAATAAAGAAAATAAAATGTATAAAGAAATTTTTAATGATTTTATAATAATTAATAATTATTTTTATTAAAAGGAAGTTCTTTTGATAATTAATTTTTTAAATGTTTTTGAAAAAAATTATATTTTTTAGATTTTTTAACATATTTTCTTTATTAATAATTATTATAAAATCATTAAAAATTGAATAATAATTTCTTTAGTTTTTTTATTCTTCAATAATAATTATTAAAAAATTATTGAAGATAAAAAAATTCTGGTTATTTAAAAACAATATATATTTTTTATTTTTTAATAATTAATAATTATTTTAATTTCAAAATATATGTAAAAAAAACTAATTTTAGCAAAACATTACATTTTTCCACTTAAGTTGACACATGTCATAACTTAATTAGTCAAACGTTAGTTAACTAACTAAATTGGTTAATTTGATGAAAAAGGTTAATTGAAGGGTTGGTTTGCACCAACATCCATTAATAGAAAATTTTTTTTATGAACTATATCTATGTAGAGAGTTTACAATGATATTTTCGATATAGTATAGAAATACCAAATGTAGAGCCAATAAATTTATATTCTATTGATACTTTCTACTAAACTTTGGACTCCTCCCCTATAAAAAAGAATTGACTAGAAATTAAAACCTCATTTAATATGTTAATTTTTTTTATTTCACATTTATTAGTCCTTCGCAGTTGGAAAAGCACAAAACGAAACCTGTTCCAGAAACAAGGTCCTTTTTCTCAAGGATATTCCTGCCACAGTAAATGGTTAGCATAGGGATTCAAATGCAAACAAAACATACAGACGTATTGCCGCATATAATCTTTTCCCTAAATTGAAATACTCATATTTTAGGTACGTACTTCTAAGCCCAAGACCTTTTTCATCAATAGTTTATCATACACTACTACAGATTTGGAAAGTTGCTATTGTCATGTTTCTGTTGTTAACACAACAAGGCTGCCTTGCTTCTTTATCCATCGATCTCAATTGCTTTCTGGTTTCGGTCTGTACAAATGTTTTCTTCCAACAAATTTGTCCTAAAACACCCTTAAAAGCTTGATGTAGGTATTAGACAGGTTAATTTGCTACCTGCGTTGTCATCTCAGGGAATCAAATGGAAAACAATTTGTCGTGAACAACAATAATCTGAACGTGGATGACTTATTTAAGATTTTACGATGGAGGGATTCATTTTAATATGAAAAACCAACCTCAAAAAGTCATGATTAGTAAGACAAATAAAATTCCTAGGACAATGCTTCCTAGGAAATGTTCCACTTCGTAGAATTTACATTTTTTTTTTTATCTTGTATATCCCGAAGAATTGATTCATCTTTTTCCTATTGTACAAACAGTCTTAACTATATCTTGTCCTATAGATTTCTACAAAACGAATATATATATTTATTCGGAGACATAGACCTTACTCTCTTGTCCACTCTTAAGGTCATTTACTGTAAATATATTAACAATAATAATTATGGTTCAAATTAAGAACAAAGTCACTAAAGTGAGGCACGCAGAGACACATTGTAGAACTCCAAAATTAACATGTTCTTAATGAACTTCTAATGGCGACGAGATTCATTTCATCTCTGTGTTTTCTTTCATTACTGCAGGCCATTGTGGCGTTTTACTTGGCTCAGGCTACCGTACCAGCCATATTTGCTCTCAACTGTTGATGTTGACACTAGTTAACTAACACACCTAAAAGAGATAGAAGAAATGAGTGGTAATTATCATTCATCTCCTCAAAAACCACTATTCAATTATTATTCGATAGTATTTTTGATAACTTTTACGGTTTTAATTTCTTTTTGACATTTATATGTAAATTTTATATTATATATTTATGTTGGTCCTTAATGTTTCTAAAAGATATTTTGATCCCTTATTTTTAAAATATATTATTGGCAACCTCATGTTGTTATTTTATTTCATTTTGGTCCTTCATTTGTCCTTAAGATATTTTTGTTTTTTTTTTTTTATAGATATTTTTAGCTTCTCTAGCTCTCGGATATATATATATATATATATATTCTTATTTAATAAGTATCAAAATCATAGATATGAAGAGATTAACATAGTTAAAGTCCATTTTGTAAAACATGAATTTATGTCCGGATATTATGAGTTGATACACTATGGAGAATTGATGCAAAGAGTTATTATGAGTCAAAAAATTATTATGAAGGCGAATGAGTTTTTAATCAACCTCCTAATGCATATCAAATAATAGTGATGGATTTAGTCGGTTTATTATTTAATTTGTCTCACACCAACGAGGTGCCAAATCCTAACACGTAGAATTTTTATGAAATACCGAATATATCGCACAAAGAGATTTGGCTTGGGTGTGAAAGTCACTCATAGCTATCTACAAGTGGCTCGTAGGTTAAACCTTAAGTCAAAACCCCATTTTTTTTAAAGGTGGTACAATGACTTATGTCAACTAATGAAGGAATTTATGCATGATGATAACTACAAGAAAGAGGACTTTGATAGCATGAAAAAATTTGTGAATGGGATAGGTTTACTAATTGAAAAGATCCATTGTTGTAATAATGGATGTGTAATTTATTAGGATGAAGATAGTGAATTAACTACTTGAAAATTTTATTCCCATCCTCGATATTGAAGATCGAGATAGGGATTGATAAGAGAAAAAGATGTTTCTTAAAAAAGTACACTATTTTTCTCTCATCTTGTAGTTACAATGATTGTTTGCGTCGAACACTACAGCTAAAGACATGATATGGCATTCCAAGAATAAAGTTGAGAATGCATGCATCATGGGTCATATTTTTTTGAGTATATTACATGACAATATTTCAATCTTATGCATCCTTCTTTCGCATCGAATAAATGAATGTCGGATTAGGAGATTGTATTGCTAGGTTCAATATTTTAATCAATTTGGTGTGCAATATTCTTTATGGTTGGTAATTTTCATGCCTTACAATTTTCCACCATAGATATGTATGAAGAAAAAATATATATTTTTAATTATAATTATCGCAGGACTAAGAAATCCAAAGCATATGGTGGAGGTGTTTGTATTGTCTTTAATTGTAGAGTTGGTTCACTTGTGGAAAGTAGGTGTACGGACCTATGATGTGTATCGAAAGTAGAATTTTTAGATATGTGTTATAGGTATGTAAACAATCAATGACTCGTTAGGAAATTAGCATGTTCTTATTGCATAAAATTTTTGATGCATTCACCCTCTCTAGTGAAAGAAAGACATTATTGTTTGACAATCATTGTAAGTTTCTACTTGTAGAGCATCTATTTAGGAGGAACAAAAACTCATTCATAAAAAATGGATTCTGCTAGACAGGTGTTCCCCCTAATCTGGTCCGAAATAAAGATTCCGAAGGAGATAAATAATTAGAGGTTGATGAA